CCCATGAAACCCAAACAACCCATTCCTCACTGTCTTGGTCTTCATCTTCGACGCGGATTTCTTATTCCCAATTGTTTGCCACGACTTTAGGGCCTAATGTAAGGCCTAATGCCAGCCCTAATGTAAGGGCTAATGTAAATGATGGTAAAGTCCAACATAAATACTATAATGAAACTAATGAAACGATCGATAGCTCCGGCATTACGTCTAGTTTTGAACACAACTATAACTCGAACTCAGACTCTAATTCTGGTGCCACTAAAGCTGACAATAGGCTTAAACTTTTCAAACATAATGAACCAGAAGCTGGCATTACAGTCAGGACACCTCCATCTCAAATCAATGCCAATATCTCCAACTCTTACAAAAGTTGGCCTAAATTGGCAGCTAATGTAGAACTGGACGAAAAAAGCAATGAATCGTATAAATCCATTAATACCTATGGATTAGTGAACGAAAATATTGCTTCTGTAACATCAAACGAATCGACAGCCCCTTCCCCTCCAACCACTCCAATGCCAACTGAGTCTTCAATTGGTTGGACACAAAACACAGATAATATGCTAAGAATTAAATACATCGACAACATTGACAGCACTACGAGAATAAGTGAGGGCTCATACACGACAAGCCTTACAGGCCTGACAGCCCAGTCACTCACTACTAGTACACACCGGTCTCTCATTGAGTCCAACATCTCTTCCTCAAGCGATCCATCGATCGATGCCATCATCTCTACGACGACTTCCTCCTCACAAAGCGATCAAAGGGCTACTAATACGACATACCTGACCAGTACTGCTGGCGCTCCAACTCAATCGCCAACTCCTCACGTCAGCCCAACAGCACCGGTAGGCATTGATATCGACTGGAGTGACGAGAATGAAACCGATTTCATGATCAATGAGACGAAGAGCTTATTGTCTTTGAGTCCATTCTCAGCCACGACTCAAGTAATACTCTCTCATCTCTTTCGATGTGATAATTAGTTTTTGTCAAATATCCTAATATTTTCTCAACATTTGCTTCCAGTCCTCCCCAAAGACGGATCCATTGAGACCAGCGGTCACTAAGAATTCACTATCAGTTACGACAACATTGAACCCAAAAACACATTTAAATAGCAATAGTAGTGAGCAATACATTGATGTCTTGTACGACGACAATGAGTCGATTCTAGTCCACCGGCGCTGTCATTGGCAACAACTCAATGATGTGAACTGGACTTCCAGTGAGACGGGAGTGTTGGCCACACAGACGTGTCCGCAACCTTACAGCGGCACCGTTTACCGGCCCTGTTATTCATCGGGACTATGGGGTGACCCCGACTATAGCGAGTGCCGACTCGAGCATCTCAGAGAGATTCAAAGTCTGGTAAATGTTATTTGTGTGTCATTTGTCTGATCTAACCGTTTATTTGACTGATAAAAGACAGCCATTTATGCAATTGATTTCATTAATACATTAGTGTTTCTCTATTTAATTGTAAATGAAATGAACGAATAAATTGTGTGAACTATACTCTCCTTTCTCTCCCTTTAATGAATTAAGCATTTTGTGAGCCGACTCTAAACCTACTGGTCCTCTGAGTTCCAGACGTTTTGTGTAAAAAATAAAAATATTTGAATGTTGTCTGCTATACACGACAAACAAAAACAGAGAAACTTTTCCCATTTATTGTGATTTGTGTCTCATTTTGTCTATAAATATGAAAGTCATGAGGATTTATGTGTTTAAAAATTTATCATAATTAGTATTAACGGGAAATTAGGAAAACCCACACTTAATAAGTCCAATATTGAATAACATTTGCTAAAATATATACCTGTAATAAGAGAGCCGAAAGAAAAATAAGACATCCATTCAATTAGATTACATATCCATTACATAGAAATTGATTCAATTTTAAGCTCAATATAAATATTTGCAAAAGCATTGATTAGTTTTTTCAATGACTATCAAAACAGTTGTAAAGCTTTGCGACCGTTCCGGACATGTAATTGAGATCAATAGTGGATATAAGACATACACAACGCTATAGTTTATGTGCTATACATTAAATTTTACTGCACTCTCAATACTATCTAATACTGTCTAATACATTAGGCTATAGAGTAGAGTAGACTCAGTTGAGTATCATATATACCATGAATGGAGATATAAGTTGAAACAAAAGTTAATGAAAAATGTGTTTAGAGAAGAGAATCGTTTTTGGTTTGCCTACTAATTAGAGGTCGGGTAGGGATAAGATTTTGTCACATTTGAAGCGCAAAAAGGGAGGGAAGGCTGTCGGAGAGAGTAGTGTTGTAGTGAATGGGTGATGGTGTGGATGTAGTGGATGTAGTGGTGATGTTTGTTAATTGTGTTGTTTGTGTGATATGCAGATCCTATATCACGTGCACAAGCACTTAGTGGATGGTCTGTACCCACTGGCGGAGGACTTGAGTCGATTAGTAACGTCGGGGCGGTTTCCTCTGAGGAGTCCAATGGATAGATTAGATGCAATCGATTCACTCAATGCTATTCTTAGGGCGAAGATTAAGATCCGAATGGAGGACGAGGAGAAGAATGTTAATTTAATTCAAGTGAGTCGGCCATCACTTATCTACAGTCTATACACTCCTCCCCATCAACTCTAGCCTTCATTAATATTGATGCTATTCTTTGCGACTCTATTTGTACTGTATTTGCAGTCTTTGACGACAATTTGCGATCAAGTCTTGACACGAACTCAAGTTGTCTTCGCTATCGAAACAGAAAAGAATGTAATGTTTAATGTTTTTTGAATCCTTCATATAATCAAAAGTCAAATCCCATATCGACTTCTCTCACATTAAAGGCATTATTTTTAATATAAACTAATTTTCGTCAACACTCTAATGATAGCAATTTGGATCTTAGGATAAGAATAAAAAATTTTGTCATTAAAAATAAATGTCAAATTCCTTTCGATGGATAGAAAAGTGAAAGAAATAACAATAAATAAAAACCTAAAAACCCAAAACTAAAGCGAAAAAAATGATGAAAAAGAGATTTAATGAAATGAGATTTGAGTCACTATTTTATTGAGGGCTTATCTGTCAGTTTAATAACAAATTCTTATATATATTTTGGGCTCAATTCTGTTGGCCCGACGCCTACCCCTCAACACAACTCCAGGCGCTGATAACGCAGAAGACGGCGGAGGCTTTGTTTGGATTTCGTCTTCTGTCCGAAAATATATTAAGAGCTCTGATTGTCGTCTGCGATGACGGAACCATCAGAAGAATAAAGCCTATCGTTCCCAACGCCAGGAATATAAGTATGTATACCATTGCCTTCCCTTCCCGAACCATTGGCTTCTCCTATAAGTCGATACAATGATATTTAATGTCTTCTATAATTGGTATTAAGTTTTCTAAACTCTATTATTTGATATCAATTTTCTTTGGGTCACTCGCGTGGATGCGATCACTGTTGTTGTGATGTATGTCTCAAATAAGTCATGACATTAACCCATCGGACGCCGTTTGGATCACTGATCCCACTCGTGACGCCATCCAATTATACAACTCTTATCAACAACACTATTATCCCTAAAGTTATCATTCATCTCGAAGGTATCCCAAACTAACTATCCATTGCTCTCTCTCTCTCTCTCTCTCTCTCTCTCTCTCTTTCGTATCATTTTTATATTAAATATATTGCTTTCGCATCGCTTCACATAAATAATAATCAAAATCTCTTTATTATATTTTAATGACTCTTTATTTTGTTGTTATTTTCCGTCAAATTCTTTCTCTTCCCTAAAATAACATTTCAAACAAAACGACACTTTGAGTGACAAAACAAAGCATTAATTCAATTTGATCACAAAAATGTGCAAATTATTTGAATTGATTGCATATATTTTGTTGGCAACAGATTTCAACAAATTAGGGGTTGGCATCTCATCCGTTTGGATCCGGCAATTGGGTTCAGTACTGGACAACAGTGCCTATGAAGTGATGAGTGATGTGGTGTTGGTATCAGTGGTTCCAGCGGTCAGTATTGAAGTGGACTTCGAAGAGACGCCTAAAGTAGAGGTGGAGTTGCAGTTGAAACGATCGGTCCGACAGACCGATGATATCAGTTGTGGACGAATCCGTTCGGCCAGAGAGTGAGTCTTTTGAAAGTAAAAGTTTGTGTCGAGACTAGACTCGAGTTCTTGAGTGCCATTTGTCACTGAAGTCGGTGTCCATACACTATATGTTAACTGTTTGTCTTGTTTTCATTTCTTTGTATCGCTTTCACTGTCATTAGAAGCAGTGCTAACAGAGCTTAGATTCTAACAAATAATAGCTAACAGTGCTGTAAGTGGTATGAGTGCTAACAAAGACTTCTTTACTGTTTTCTATCAATTAGTTTGTGGCAGAGGAAAGGCTGTGAGACAATAGCACGCAATGTATCATCGATTCATTGTGTCTGCAATGAAGTCGGAATAATTGCCGCACTCTTTCACAAGTCGTCGTCCAGTGATTCTCCGGTCAACAGCACCGGACACAACCACTCACTCCTCGTACACACTATTGTTTTGTACACCAGTTTTGCGATCAGTTTACTTCTGTTAATGGTTTCACTGTTTTGTCAAATCATCCAAAGAAGTCGCGAGTCTTGTGAGGCCTCATTCATCCTCATAAGTTTGGTCTCGTCTCTGATGGCCATTCAGCTAACATTCCTATTGGGGGCGCCGTTCGCCTCCAAATGGACACTCTCTCAGCCCTGGATCTGTCCAATGGTTCCGCTTGTGTTCCATTTCCTTCACTTAGTCACCGCATTCTGGATGCTCTCCCACACAGTCTTTCTCTATCAACGCCTTTGGAGACCATTGTCTCGACAGTCATCCTCATCGTTACCATTGTCTGAATCTCATCAATCATTCGAGCGTTCATCCAAGTGTTGGAAGTGTTGGTCCGACTGGTCGTCGCGAACGACAACAATCCTATTCAGCCATCAATGGGGTTGCAAACAGTTCATGATATTCGCCACTTCATTGCCCGCCCTCTCAGTCCTCATCTCTTATTATCTCAATCCAGAGGGATATGAAACCAAACGATAGTAAGTCTTCAAAACTATTTTTTAATATTTCTCTTAACTTTTTATGAGTTTTTTTCCATTCTTTCGCATCAATTGAGGAGTTTTTATACGATTTTCTACTTTTAGATAACATTTGCAAAACACATGCCTTTTGTAATCAGATTATTAACACAATTCTAAGAGCTCTGCAAAGTGTAGCTATACTTTGTATATTAAAGTATGGATTTAGAAATGAACATAACTTTTCATTCAAGTTAACTGACTTAATATAAAAATAAAAATAGCAAATGAGTTTAAGTTTATTTACTTTACGTTATCTTTTATTAAAACTGTTAAACTGTTAATGGATTTGAGAACTTACAACTCAAACCATACTATGTATACCTAATGCTAACAAAAGGCATTAAATGCCCATTTAATGGCATTTCTTCCCTAAAAACTCTATTATAAAAGTTTGAAAACATATAAATTATATGAAATTTGTCAACAAATTAAATTAAACTGAAAAAGTTTGGCGAAATTTTGTTAAAGTGTTAATTTTGACTACAATTTATTATACAATAAAAGCTTAAGCCATAAACACTGAAACGATTTTGAATTTTTTTAAAACTCTATAAAAGGATTTTGAAAATTTAATGAAAAATAATGTTTGAAAGTAATTATATATTAATATTATTTATAAAATATTGTATTTCTTAACTTATATGGCTATATTTACGATACAATTTTATATATTGTATTGAAATGTATTTATGATAAACTTTTATAAAGATTTAGAACTGGTTTTATTTTTCTATTGAATAATTAATAATAAAATACAACAAAAACATTATAAATGAATTAGAAATATGTAATAAATTACAAATTTTCCATATTTTGTGTCATTTTATGCAAAATTGAAATTCATATTTTAATTTAATTGCTTAACATTATTACAATATAATAGAGTCGATAATTTGATAACTTATTTGTTGACAATATCTGAATTTAATTTTTACTCTAATTTACACAATTTAACGTAAATATTGTGCTAACATATAGTGTTCAGTAAATCTGCATATTTTAAAGTATTATTATTATAACTCTTATGATTTATGAATGAATAGAATTTTAATTAAGCGATTTTTAAATGCAGGCATAAGTTAATCAATCATTTTATAAAAATCAAATTTACGTATAGTTTTATTATTTGTTTAACAACTCATTTATAAATTTAGTTTTACTTTTTAACTTACTGTATATGTTTGTTACTCCCGTTTTCAAAGCAATTCATTTGCAAAATACAATAACTTATCATTTGAAATAAGCCCGACAGAAAATATGACTAGATTATTTGATTATTTTAACTATTTAAATTTTAACTTTTAAATATTTTACATATTTTCCAAACACTGATATTATATTATTGAATCTATTATCAAATAATATATAAATTTAATGCAAAATTGAATTGTCTGCTTATGAATGATTGATTGATAAAATATTTTTATATTATATTTTCTATTGTCAACCATTTGTATTATAGATTAGTTAATGTATAGGAAATTGTATTTTGGAGTTTATATAATTTATAAAAGTTTGTATTGAATGCAAAATGTAATTCCTGGCGGAACTCCTTCACTGCTATTCTTTTTGAACGTTTAATACATTAGAGTATTATATTATGTCTGCATTTAAAAGACTTTGTTTTCGGATGTCTTTCAATATAACAAAATAGAAATAAAATGAAATAAAAGCAAAATCTGATAAAATAAAACTGAAATTTTATAAAATAATTCTAAATTTCAAAGAAATCAATAAAAACTCGACAGATCTTTGACTTAAAATTGAGATCTAAGGAAATAAATGTGAGATATATTTGGGTAAAAATATTCCCACTTTTGGATCCATTCTTTCCATATTTTCCTTTAAATATAAGTCAGACTTTTGTGAGCCATATATTGATACAAACCTGAAATATTTCAGAAATACTAAGGAATACTTTTATCTCTCAAATATTTTATAAATATATTGAATATTTACATTTTTATCTTTTTGTTTAATTTTAATGTTTGTATTACGTATGAGTGAAATATTTTGGTTTAATTTTGTTCAATTAATAGTCATAAGTATCATTTAAAGTAAATATTTTTTCATTTACTTTAAGCAAATTAATTGAAAACTAAATTTATATCCACAAATGAGTCCAAAAATAACTCAAACATTCAATATTTCATTTGAATAAACTGAGTACTCTGTAAATTATGTATGCTATGAGTTCACATATATATTAATATTAAAATATGAACCGAGAATATAAAAATATTACTGAAAACATTAATTCATATGAGAATGAATCCAATTTCCATAAATTCATGAAATAGTGTTAAATAAAAAGGAAAATATTTTTTATCCGAAGAATAGTCTTATATGAAATTTACATAAATTTTATATATAGATTGCGAGCGAATAAAAACTAGCCTATCGTATATTGTATAATCTAAATGTGATGCCGATTGCTGAGCTACCAGTGCTGAGAATAATGTTTGTTTTGCGTCTCAATTAGCTGTTGGATGTCGATCGAGGGAGGGATGCAGTACTCGTTCATAGTGCCTGTCTCAATTCTCATTCTGGTAAGTTTCTCACGTTTTCTCATTTTCACTTATTTTGTCGAAACCCGTAGAAAAAAGTCTTTTGCTTTTTGTGTGTCAAACGTTCACTACATTAATGTTTGACGGGTTTAAGTGTTGAACAAGCACTCAATGTATGATATTTTGTTTGTCGCGATTTTCTAGACAAATACAGTCATAATGTTATTGGTTTTGAAGCGATTCTTTGAGACGAAGTCAGTCACACATAAGACAGAGATCGACAAAACACAGCCGGCATTGCGGGCCGGCGTCACTCTATTGCCATTCTTTGCCGTCAATTGGTTTCTCAGTGTACTGGCCCTCGAGGACACCGTCACCACATCATTCCAGTGCATCTTCTCCCTGTCCAATGTCACGCTTTCCTATTTGGTATTCCTATTCCACTGCTACCAGAGATATGACGTAAGCCCTCTGTCTTTCTTACCATTGCTTTCATTGCAAACTATAGATCAAATCCATTTCACGTATACTTTGTGATAAATAAGATGCTAACAAATACTGAATATTCATTAAATACCATTAAATCATGAAATAAATTTGCATTAAATGGCAACTTATGGTGTGTTTCAGTTACACGAATACATAAAAGTGAGACTATTTGGTGCGAAAAAGCATCAAAACTCGAGTCTTAGGCTGAAGAAGAACAGTTATCCGGGACGTGGTCTCAGAGTAGACATCCCTCGCTTGTGTATCGGCGATGACAGAGATCTCAGTGCTGTTGCCATCGCAGCAAACAGTGGCTCATCCATAGACTGTCAGCCACTGCTTATGCCTTATAGCGGCTCATCCCCAGCGCCTAACCCTAACTATTATAAGCCAAAAGAATTACATTAAATACTTATCAAATGTATAAATATTGCTGTAAATGAAGACTATTAATAAAATACAAATTCGTATTTATGTTTCAAAGTCTTGCTAAGGAGTCGTATATATAATTAACTAATTTGTTTAAATATTATATTGTTATCATATATTCATTAAAACATCAAATGAAAGATTTATTTATGAAAGGTTTGCTGTGCTTTATATGATATTTATTACATTTCCATAAAACAAATGTATTTAATTAAACAGATCTCTCACAAAAGCATATAGTTTCTCTATTTATTATATAACTCATATACTAAAAGTTTTTGTTTATTTATTATATGATAATATTTGATTCATAATTATTACATTAAACATATATTTTAAGCTAAAAACTATTCATGACTTGTTTTCGTTGCTAATAATGCAAATTCATCTAAAAATGTTTTAAATTAACAGTTTCTACAACATTAACCAATTAGTGCTGCAAATGGTTTAGCACTACATAACAGCTCAAGATTTTCTAAATATTATCATAACTACTGTTTAATACCTTTGCAATGACTGCAAGAATTATATGAGAATTATTCTTACATTGCTTTTGTTATATTCAACTAATTTCTAAACAAAACAAAAAACTCAAGATTAATTTATTTCAAATCAAATTAAGTACAGATACATGAATGTACAGTATTTTAAGACTACCAGTGCTTGCATTTGAACACACATTTTACACATTGAATACTTGTTTAATTTGCATTATTTTTTCGCAACAATTTAATCGATAACACTCATTGTTTAAATGTTTCTGGTTTTCCATATAAATTACTTTTAGTTAATATTTATAATTTAATTTGTAATTATAGCATATTCTCATTAATGTAATAAATAACAAAATAATATAATAATTAGATTTAAATTTTAGTCTATTATTGAAAAAATCAATTTTAAGTATTCTATTGATTAAAGAAAGATGAAAATTATTATATTATATATTAATATTTAGAATCTACTTAATACAATTTTAAAAATTGATGTATTTTTGCTTTAATAATAAAAAGAATATAAGTTATGAAATGTGTTCAATTTTAGTTGAAATAATTTTTTTAATAAAAACAAGAATTTATTATCTAATTTCATCAAAAAATATTAATGCATTGCTCATTTCTTTGAAATTAATTTTAAATAAATAATAAATTCTTCAAAATTGAAAATTCATTGATATTAAAGATTGTTTCTAAATAAGATATCTTAAATAAGATTACTCTAACTTCTAACTTATATATTCTACTTTTATTGTAAGAACTTCCGTAAATATGCAAATTATTATAAAATCATTTCCGATACAATCCTAAATATGAGTAACGGAAATAAGTATAAGAGTGGGTAAGTGCTTGTGTGTGTGTGTGTGAGAGAGAGAGAGAGAGAGAGAGAGAGAATATTTTGTAAAATATTGTTTTAGTGATTAAAATTAATTTTAAACGTTCAAATGTCACATACTGTGCGATACCTAAATTTATATGTTTGCTTCTAATCGTTAATTATATTTTTATCACATGTTATTAATTAATTTTAGAGAGCGTTTAATTTGTTTTTATGTTTTAAAAATATGTTCAAATAAATCCAAAAGATCTCAAAGGATTTGATGTCTTAAAACAGTGTTTCTAATCGTGGGTCATATTCATTCAGTTTCTGACGTCTACACGAAAAGTATTTTTTGTGTATTTTCTTATAAACAAATAATACAATTGTTAAGAAACTGCGAGCCTATGGAATAGTAGTCGAAATTTTTTGATTTAAAAATCGATTTTTAAACTCAACTTTATTTTTCATTTTGATTAAAAAATGTGCTCAAAACGAATGAAAGAGGATTTGCAATATTTATTGAAAACTTGGTTGCAAAGTATATCATTCAAAATGTAATTGATTTGAAAGTTTTGAAGCGCTGATAAATTATTGCGAAGAGAGCCACAAAAAACACTAAATAAACACAAAAGTCATAAACTTTGTAATTTTTAAGACATTCATTTTTCAGTCATATATTCAATTTACAGCATCGAGTGTGAAGTAATTTCAATGCAAATATTGATTCTGTATTTTCATAGTTTAGAAAATTAATTATAACTTAAGATAACGGGGTTTCATAAAGAATTGTAAATATACAGCAAATGCACGGAATATCAGATTTTCAATCCTTCAAAACAATATAATCCGATTAGAAATAATTCAAAATTATCTCTTTTTATACACTGTTTACCAAATGATGAAAAATTTAATATTTTTTCTATCTTTCATTCCGCAATCTCCAACATTTTTAAAACATTATTTACTTTATTTATTATAATGTTTTTTATGTTATTATCTCATGTTTTGACATTCACTTCGATATATCTAATACATTATTCGCTAAACTTTGTTTTACTATAGATTACGTGTCATTTCACTGCTATTTATGATTGATTGCAAATGAATTTGAAAATAAAAACACATCTTTATATTATTTCATTTCACATCAATTCTTTGAAATTATTCCTAATGTATTACTCTGAGTAATAATATAAACAAATATTATTTCAACAAATGTATTACTTTTCCGGTTAATTAGCATCTAATTAAATTAATTAATTCTAAATTAAGATAAAGTTTCATTTATTTATAAAAGTTTTCACTTTATTTCTGTCCTATTTTGCTCGCAATCAACCCTGATATCTTCTCAAACTACTTTTCAAATGTTTATAATTAATAAAATATAGTTATATCATATAACTTATATAAATAAAATTTATATTTATAATAAAATTAGTAAATTTGTTTTTTATTCTAATTATAACAGAAAATTATTGTATAAATTAGACAAAAAATAAAAAAGCACTGATAAAGTTTAGTGACAGGATTGACAATTGCAAAATATTTTTGGTTTAAATCTAATTGATAGATGAAACTAACAGTCAATTGGCATCACCTGTACAGTCAAGTTGTATAATATAAGGCTTGCATGAGATCGCAGTGCAAAATGACATATTATCTGATGCTTTAGAAATAGTGGAAACGAAATGAAATTACAAACTCTTTTGAATGTGGAGTGAAATCACAATTCATCGCTAAAATGTTCACTCATTTTATTGAATGCATTGCTCTTAGTATTAGATTTTTTATTCGTCCAAAAGACTTCATTTTGCTTTCATAGCCATTGATTACACATCAGTATTGTATTCAATAATTTTCTTATTTCTCTCACAAAGACTATTGCCTACAAAGAAGTGATACTTTCTTTCTATTTGACTATTGATTAATCGATCCTTTGATGCAAAAAATTTAGAGTAAAGACTGAGAAGACAAGCAGAAAAAGATTGAATTTTTTGCCACTATTTCGCTCTCCTTTGTTGCAAAAGACAACTCGTGTAACGAATGCACACATAATATAATTAAGACTTTTTTCAATTAAAACTAATTTCTATGAAAAAGAGGATTGAATGATAAAAATAGGCAAAAATATTATATATTATATTAAGTTATATTATATTCAAAACGAGACGGAAAATAACAAAATAAAATTATATGAAAATAAATGTGCGAAAAAATTCAATTTGTTATTAGAGTACAAAAAGAAATTCCATATAAAATCTCATTATTTTTCAAAATAAAGTGACAAAAACAAAATTACACACAAAAACATGAAATGATTTTTTAAAAAGTTTTTAAATGAAAATAGTGTGAAACAATAATATTACTTTTGCTCTAAAATACTAAATTTCTACATGTTTGCCTACATTTAAAAATTTGTAATAAAAACACAACTATGTTTATATTTATGGAAATAATAATAATAATAATAAATAAATACAGAATATTTGTATTCATATTGAATATATTCATAAAGAATAAGAATTGAGAATTAGTCGTCGTATGAGTTGTGTATATAATGTAATAAATCAATTGAATGGTAGGGCTATGAAAGCTTTGGCGGAGAGCAGAGCATAACTCAAACTCATTAAATAAAGTGTTTCAACAAAGATATTGAAGCAAAATTTTGAATTGCACTTCAATTCATTGAATGTGTGGCACAATAGCTATAGTTATGGATGAATTTAAGCCATAGAGTGGAGCCATAAGAGAATCTAATTATTTATTCTGAAATGTTTGCAAAAAAAGTAATTTCTGTAAAAACAATGTTTTCTTCTTTTATGGTAAAGCCTTCACTCAAAACACGAAACGATTATTTGGTATTAGACGTGAACAGTAGTGGTATGCCTGGCAGTGAATGGCCTTTTCGGGCAACTGGTAGGGCTGGTAGGACTGGCAGTACTGAAGACAAAACAAATATCAATTTGAATAATGTTGGGCCGTTTGGTTATATGCGGTCATTTAGACTATTTATTATAGCAAACAGTGTTAGCGTTAGTGCTGTTATGTTTCAACAACTGATCACAATGTGAAGTGAGCCGAGAATGAGATCATATAAGAGTTATTATGTTAACCCAGACGTCATCTAATGAATAATTTGATGGGACGAGTGCTTTCTCGCACTTAACTCATGGATACAACTCATGGATACTCGTGAGGCTGTGTGAACAATACATCCAACAGTAGAGTAGAGTACAGTATAATACAGTGGAGTACACTATCATATACTATGAACACTGCATAAGACTCTATAGAAACTAATGTCATAAAGCATGCATCCGAACATCGAGAGCACTGGTAGAGTATGGTATGAGCACTGGTATGGCAGAGTATAGCTGGTAGAGTGTGTGAGTCTCATGTAATATGTCATAAGTGTGTTTATGTCTTACCAGCTCTGAAGCCATTGTATCCATCGCTGCAGACACTACACAACACTCCGTATCGTTAGCAGAGCTGAGCTGAGCCTCCATTTGATGGCATTTGAGGGCATTTGATGGATGATAATTCAGTCTCTCTTCCATACATTACATCATATCGTATACAATATAAATATGAAACGAAAATACATTTTCATTCACTAAAATTATTCCTTTGTTCTTTTGTTTGCATTTTATCATTAGATTAACATTTAATAAAATTTTTAGATTTATTTATCATTTCTCTATTTTCGCCAAAAATTTAAATCATTATTATTCGCGGAATTCAAAGTTTTGTT